GGAGGGACAGCGCAGGAGGGGAAGACCCTCTATGAGATGGATTGATTTGGTGACTGGGGTAATCGGGATGGGTGTGTCAGAGGCGGTGCGGTTGGCACAGGATAGAGCAGGGTTTAGAGCTGTTGTGCATAGGGTCGCTATGAGTCGGAAACGACTCGATGGCACATAACAACATAACAACAACAGGGCTCAGTCACACTTGAAATTGAAATCAGCTCAGTTTTTCCTTTGATTTCTATGTATTTTATGTATGAGCTGATTTCTATGTAATTTTAGACAAATGAAGCTCAATCTCTTGCTTTTTTGGAGGTAGGGTACAATGTCACTTACTTGATGAAAGAATACAAATTAAAGAACTTAAGTGGATCTTTTTGTAAACCAACATGCAGGCACTGTCTTGGTGACCAGGTCGCCCATGTGGCTGGAGAGAAACCCAGCCCTCTGAATCACAGTCTTGTTGGGTGGCTGGTTGAAGAGATACTCTGCCTGCCAGATTCTAGGCCTCTTGTGCAAGTTGTTTACTTCATCACCTAGTTTTTTGATAGACTTCCCTATTCATTTAGATAATGAGGTTTCACAGTGAGGTCTCAGTGAGGCTACACAAATGGGAGTTGCTCTTGTCTGGGGCCAGTTGGCACAGTTTCGGTAGTGACTAGCTTGTGCTGTTCTGAAGGTGTAACACACTCAGATGGTTTTCCCAGTCATCAAGGTCTGCTTTCCTGATGTCCTGAAGATTTGCTGCCTTGCTACTTCTGTAGCTTCATCACTTTTTCAGTATGTTCCCTGTCTCAGTGAACATATTTGGCAGCATTCAAAGCCACATCAGTGTGGTGAAGGTAGTAAGACACTGGCCAGTTTACAAAGGAGCCTTGGAGCTCCAGGTTGACCTGTTTTTAAGCTTTTGCTCTGGTGCACTTTTGAGGGAACATGGTAATTAGGTTACTGGGGAGAGATAGCAATGGTGACACATTGTTGGAGAAGCCATGGGACCTTGAGGGCACTGGGAGGACGAGGTGGATGGTTGACTTGAGCAGCTGGTTGAGAAGTTGTGGAGTGCCAGGGTCCACGCTGGGGCTGTTGTAGCAGGAAGCCGGTGGCTCCACAGGATGTTGCAGCCACTGAGACTTCAGTTGTCAAGGCTGGTTATTACCATGTAGAGGAGTTTCAGTACCCTTGAAATGGGAGCCCGGATGCTACATGGTTAAGGTTTGAATTTCTGTGTCTTGATTTTGTAAGACTGTATTTATTGATCTGTGTTGTTTTGGCAGTGGAAAAAGGCCCACCTTACAGATAAAAAAAAGAGAACCTTTAAAAACTGAACCTCACTTTCCTCATTAATGACAGTTTACTTCTTTACAGGGTTTTATTTATAACTAAAATAGCAAAATTCATTTGGCAGAATTAGTTTTGCAGCTTTACTTAGTGCCCACAAGCTGGAAGGTAGGTTGTAGAGCTGTGAAAAGATGTGAAGGAAACTGAGACTTCTGATCTGCCACGTGATCAGGATTGCAGGGTCCTGAAGGTTTGGATGAAAAGCGTTTGCTGATGAGTGAGGCTTCTGTCACAGACAAGTAGGAGCAAGGCGGTGCTCAGAGGGCAGAAACTGCTGAGCCTCTTGGACTAAAACACCAGTTTGAACTTTGGGGGAACATAAGCATTTCTCTTTGAGAAGTTGTTCACTTTGGAATTGACCGAGCAAGGGACATACCTTTCTGTATCTTGGTTCCGTTTGTCTCCCCAGTCTGCACCTTGCCTTTAGATTTGTTGTTGTTGTCAACCTTGTGAACAACAGATCCAAACCTGGCCTCATGCTCAAGCCCATTGCGGTTGTCACTGTGTCAGTCCATGTCATGGAAGATTTTCCTTTCCTTCACTGACCCTCTGGATTTTCCAGCATGGTGTTGCTTTCTAAGGACTGATTTCTCCATAAAATATGGCCCAAAGTAAATAAGAAGTTTCACCATCCTTGCCTCTAAGGAGCATCCTAGTTGAATTTAAGACCGATTTATTTGTCCTTTTGGCAGGCCGTGGGATATTGGGTACTCTTCTCAGTACCACGGTTGAAAGACATCAATTCTTCTTCTGTCATCCCTATTCATTGTTCAACTTTCAGATGCATAGGAAGCAACTGAGAAGACCATGGTTTGGATCAGGTGCACTTTAGCCTTTAAACCATCAGGCATCACTGGTCTTTAGCACTCTGGAGAGGTCCTTGACAGCGAATTTTCCCATTGTAGTAATTTCTTGACTGCTGCTATCATGGATGTTGATTGTGAATTCAAGTAAAATGAAATCATTGACAACTTTAATTTTTTCTCCAACTTTCATGATGTGGCCTGTTTGTCGAGTGGTGAGAATTTTTGTTTTCTGTCTTTAATTACTAGTTTGGATATTCAGAACAGTCAGCAAACCAATAGCCTGTAAAGTCAGCTGAATCTGCTCCTACTGTAAGAGCAACGCAGTACAGAACAGTCATGTAAGACCTCACATCTACCTGCAATACAATATTTTCCAACATTTTCTTTTGAATCATAGCTTATGTACTCTTGTTAGGGGTAGGGGGTGTGGGGGGTTATATGTACTACTAATTGCTGTTAGATACCACCAAGTCAGGTACTCAGCGACCCGATGAACAACAGATCTAAACTTTTTTCATCCTGCACTGTCCTCACAGTCGCCACCATACGGAAGCCCATTGTTGCAGTCACTGTGTTGGTGCGTTTCGGTAAGGGTCACCCTCTCCTTCCCTGACCCTCTGCTTGTCTAAGCGTGATGGCCGTTTAGGGCTAAGGGGAATTTTCCAGCTTAGCCAGGACCCTCTCTTCTTGTCTATGATGAATCACTCACTGAACTGTCATGGAAAAGCATCTACTTTCTTTCATGCATCTTGGAAGATTGATGGTGAAGCCCTTGACTTCTGTACTCTACCCTCCTGCCCTTTATTTCCCTGCTGCCCCAGAGAGACACTAGTAAATATTTCTGTAATTTTATATTAACCCAATTGTGAGAGATCCTGGTAAAGCCCTGATAGTATCAAAATGCTGTCCTGGTCTATAGAGGAGACATGAGTCAGTCTTTTATTTAGGTTTGGGCTATAATTACCTTACTATTTTGGAGGCAATGTGCTGTCTGTGATTGTTGCATTTGAGATTATCCTGTTTTCCTTTGCTAAAATAGGACCTATTCCACCCCCCCCCTTTGGTCTGATAGCTACAATAAGCTGCAGCTAGAAATGTTACTAGGGGTTTGTGTTTTACTTTACAGAATTTGTAACTTTAAACCCAGTCTCTGTGTCCTAGTTGGCCACCTCCTTTTGCCCCCTCTTTAATTTGATATGTTCCAATAAGGTTAATGAGTAAAAAGTACATACAAACACAAAGCCATAGTAATATTAAGGGTATTATTCTCAGGTTACCAGCCAGCCTCTTTTAATTTACAGCCAAATGTAATTTCCAGGTGACCGCAAAAGCCATGTAATACAAGCTCTGGGAAGGACTAATTGCTAGTGAAACAGGTGGGCCAAATGTCCCCAGAAATTGGTAATGGAAATTTAGCCCCAATCCTTGGAGGGGGTGCTACTAATCCTACTGTTCTGAAAACTTCTGGAGTCCTGTGGGAAGCTTGCCGATTAATCCACACAGCCACATTAGCTATGGCCAAAACTAGGGGTACCTGGAGCTTCCTTTGTGAGGCCAAGCAGAACACTTGAGGCTTAAAAGAAGAGGCTAGTCACCTAGGAACCCATTCAGAAAAAGCATTAACTTTGCCACCTATGGCATTTGAATGTTTTTCACGTTCCCCCCTCTGATCTTAATTGCTGCAAATTTCAAATGAATCCTAGAAATGTTTTTGGCCAAAACAACATTTGCAAAGAAAGAAATGACAAATACCTCTCTGATTTCATATTTGTTCAACAGCAGTACCCTACTTGGATACAACTTGCCTGAACACAGTGTACTTAAGTCGTCTCTCTGCATGTTTAAAATATTAAGAGGGGAGAGAAATGCCCCTAAATTGAACTTTCAACTGTACACATAGAGGGGAAAAATAATTCGCCAATTGGCAGCCCCAGGCTGCAAATCACTTTCTCAGCAGGAAAGAAAATTAAATCTGGCATTTTAAAAAAGTGGTTTTTTTATTTCAGGGTAGGTGGGGGAGCAAGTAAGGAATAAACACTTAGAAATAAATGTATTGAATTTGCACAGTATGAAATGAAAGATTGAAAGCCTTTTTATACATATATGCTGGCCAACTCAGTAATTTCAGCAGTACAAATATAGTGGGGAATTTGGCAACATTGAGGCTCTTGGTTGATAAGGTCCACCTAGGCTTCTTCCTTTCTCAGAACCATTTGAAGCCATTTTCCCACCTCGAGTTATAGCTGAGGTGTTTGCCCATTTTACTTGGGGGTCTTGAACTACAGCCAATGATAACTTACCTGGCTGCATGGTATTATGCTCAGCTGCCCATGCTGTTGGTCGTTGCTGTGGGCTTGATTCCAATTCATGGTGACCCTCTGTGCTTTCTCTTTAGGCGTCTTTCTTTGTCGTATACAATATGGTGACAACAGAGGTGATCGCTGTATTTGAGAATACGTCAGATGAACTTTTGGAGCTCTTTGAGAACTTCTGTGACCTCTTCCGAAATGCTACCCTGCACAGTGAAGTCCAGTTTCCTTGCTCAGCTTCCAGCAACAATTTTGCAAGGCAAATCCAGCGCCGGTAAGCTGTTGACCAGATTTGACAGGCTTAGCTTTTCTTCAGAACAATAGTTGGCATTAGGCGAATAGTTATTTGCTCCAGGAAACATTCGCTTTTTCTCCCTGTCCACTTGGCCATAGTTAGTCTGCCTGCTTTAACCTCTGGCTTGTTCCACATAACTCCTTTTCCTCTGAGACCTGTGGAATTACTTGCATGTTGTTTGTAATTCCTCTTAGACTGTCTTTGAGCCGCAGAAAGATGGAAACAGTGTCTTGATTGTTTATCACTATATTCACAGCAGTGTACTATCAAGGATTTAAATATTGTTGAATCAGTAAGAAAGTCATTTTAGAACTTTTGATTAAACTCAGTTTGTTGGACTAAAGCATTTGTCTTTGCTCCATCCCAAAACACAATTCAAATGGCAGTAAAACAATAAGAAGTACAAATCTACAAGAATAAAGAGTGAGAGAGGAGGTGGTTGGAGATAGGAAGCCAGTGGATGAGTGGGAGCTGAGATAGCACACGTCAGAGCACAGAAATCCATGCCTCCAGAGCAGCCCTAGAGAAACAGCCTGATTTTCCCCACAGAGCTCTTAATGTGTCAGGAAGTTGGAGGCCTTCCGCACCTCTGAGTGCTGGGTAAGAGGTACTCAGAAATCAGGAGAGCTGGAGGAAGTTCCTAAAAGGAGCTCAGGGCCTTTACATCCCCTCCTTTAGCCTACACTGCTACACGAAAGCCTTGTTCCCCACCTCAGGAGAAGGCAGGAGGTCTTCTCACGTTCATGAGGCATACCTGATCGCTCGAAGAATGAGACACAGCGGAGTGAGAGCAGAGGAGTTAAGTGATAATTGATGTACTGAGATTCCTCTTCCCTTTACTACACTCTGACATCCAGGCTTGTAACCCCTATGCAGGAGATGAGGGATTTCCCCCTGTCCCCCAAGCAAATTGACAAACTCAAGAGACCTTCAGATAGTGGCATTGTAATCCCTTTGCATGCCACCTGGGTCATCCTAAATTGATTCTAGCTACAAAGTCCTCCTATGAACCAAGGCTTTTGATAACTATCTTTGTACATTAGTAGGAAATTATTGGTTACATTAAATCAAGAGCTCATGCTAAATCCTACTGTATCAGCTAGTACGCATCAGATTTCTCAGCCCTAAGCTACAACCCCAAACTTAGTTCTGGAAGGTACCTGCTTTCAGTCCCAGGATAGACCCAGCCATAGCAGATGGGCAATTTATCATCAGGTTTACTGGCAGTGGGGAAAGGAATCAGAGTAGATCTCTCAAGGCAGAGAGACATCATAAAGGCACAGTATTACATTGGAAATAGATGGATATTGATTTTTAGACAGCTGGATTTACCTTTTCTTCTGGTTCATAGATCTGCATTATTAACATACCTAGTCGGCTGTGAGTCGGTCCCTGTGAGGTCAGGGCTTGTTGTTATCGTCACTGCTCTGGTCAGAACATTGAGGTCAGTGCTGGAAAGAAGCCCTTTAGGAGTTAGAGGAAGCTGTATTTTATGAAAATTATTTCAGATTGCATCTGGAATTAAGAGAAATTACAGGAAGTCTCAGGGAGAAGCTGTATCCTAGTTTGATTATTTTCAAAATTGTGCTCGATATCACCAAAAGATTTAGAAAATTTACAGGTACTCGTCCCAATTTTTTAAATTGATCTCTGAATTCTTTTTTTTACTATTAAATTTAAGGAGTTATAGATTAGAATTCCAGTGTACTTAAAAAGAAAATTGTTATGTTGCTGTTGTTGTTTTGTACCATCAAGTCAGAACCAACTCATAGTTGCCCCTCAGAGGATTATTAGAGCCAGTGAATCACATAGGTGGAGATTGCCCATCCCTCTCCCACAATCCACATGCCTTTGGGTTGGCAGTGTAACTCCTTACAGCTAAACCACCAGAGCTCCCTAAATTGATATAGCACTCCTTGAAATGTAGCAAAAGAATCCAAGAAATTTGTCGTTGAGTGTTTGGAAATTTTACTTTTTTTTTCATTTATTAATTCATATATCATCTATTCATCTTTTTAAAGTTATCCTAATGTAGCATCTTCGTTATCTGTAACAGAAATACCACAAATGAGTGTCTTTAAATGTTTATTTTCTCACAGTAGAAGTCTAAATTTTGGGTGCTGGCTCTATGGAAAGGTTTTCTCTGGAGGAAAGTCTTTGTCTCTGAAGTTTCTGTTTCTGTGTGATCTTCATGTATTTGGCCATCTCTCTTCCCACATCTCTCTCTTTCTCTGCTTGCTTGTTTACATTTTCTTTAATCTCAAAAAAGATTGATTTAAAATGCGCCTTACAGAAACCCTGTCTCAATAATGTAATGAAAGCAGCACATTCCTGAATGGTATTATAACTACAGGCATAGAGGTTAGGATTTACAGAATTCATTTTTGGAGGATACAATCAAATTCATATCATGTAGTATCTTTTATTGACCATCGTATTTCATTTTGCTCCATTGAAAATATAATGTAAATTGAAATTTTTTTGTGAGCAAATGGTTCCAAATGCTTAATTTTGCAACCTCTTATAAGACGGTTTAGTAAAATCAAGTAAAAGTGAACTCAGGATAAATATTTAAGGAAAAAAGAAACCAAGGATCTTAAGTCATTTAAAGAAAATAGAAAATAGAGTTAAAACCAAAATGAAACGTAAAGAATACATAAATACTCTTACACTCACATACACACACACACACAAAGTAGGAAGGAGGAAAAGGCCCCTGGGAACATATGAGACAATTATTTTTGAAATGTTAAATGTTAGATATAGTTGAGAAATTCTCCAAGAAAATGGACTAAAGAGAAAAGGAAAGTGGAAATAATAATATTAGAAGGCTCACCCTGCAAAGGTACAGTTTTTACCAGTTCTAGAAAGAACAATGGAGGAAATTATCAAAGAAATACTGTAAGACAACTTTCTAGTATTAAAAGACATTTCTCTGGAAGGACCATCCAGTGGTTCTTATTTATGATTTTAAAGTTATTTATAACTCTGTCTATGGTTAAAATATTATATAGTGGTATGCTTCTACACATCCCTTGAGGACTTGTAGCGTATCGGTAGTTTAAAATTGGCCATATTTTCAAGTAGACATGTTACCATAGCAACTGGCCAGTGATACCAGTCATATTTCTTTGTTGTTGTTCTTGGAGAGATAATTATTAAACCTGTGTGTTGTCATTGTTGTTGTTGTGTGTCATTGAGTCGACTGTGACTCTTAGCACCCTATGCACAATAGATTGAAAAGATACAGAGACAGGACACCTTTCTGATTCTGAACCATACAGTGTTTCCTTGCTCTGTTTTGACCACTGCTTCCTGGTGCAAGTATAGGTTTCACATGAGCACATTTCCACAATTTGTGATGAGGCAGGGAGCACTGTAATGTTGGAGGAGAGGAGTGGCATGGTCTGACTGCTGTTTTAACAAGCTCCTGTTACCAGTAGACTGAAGGAGGTGAGAAGAGAAGCACGAACACTAGTTAGGAGACCATTCTAATTAGCCAGTAAGCAAAATTACTGTAGTCTGTTTCCTGCCACTAGGATATAAATGCTATTTTGTTCACTGATATATCCTAAACACCTTAAAGAATGTATGGCATATAGTGAAATAAAACAACAAACCAACCATTTAGTGTTGTGTTGATTCCAACTCCATACAACCCCGTGTGTGTCCGAGTAGAACTGAGCTGTCACAGCCATAGTGCCCTTGCTTCCCTCCTGCACCAGTACGCAGACTCGACTCCCTGCTCTCAGGTGGTTCTGACACTTAGTCGCCTTCCAGCGGGTAAATCAGAGCAGGAGGAGACTGTTCACCTTCCTTCCTCCCTCCAGCTTCCGGTTGACTCAGACTGCTGGAGCTGCGTAGTCTCAGGTGTTTTAATTATGCTCTGATTATAGTGCGGCAGCCTGCTTTCCCCCTCTTAGCATTGTGACAGACGGTTCCTCTATACATACACCTTGAAAATGACACTTTCCCATGGAGTTTTTACATTTTCATTCTTTTGAATAATGTTTTATGGAATGGAAACAGACTTTCTGCATCTAGGTAGGATTGCTGTCTTAGGATAAATTTCTATTAAGTATAGAAATATTTTGTTAGAGGGTACTAATTTGAATAGTTGTTTAATCTGAAAAAATAGCAAGATCCAACCTACCATTGTGGAATAAATTCAGCCTCATAGTTGCCTCATAATTTCTACAAAAGGTTAAGTCAGATATGTGACCTGTCTGATGATTCATATAAGATGCTGATGTTTCTCAGAAATAGAGGTAGTTAACACCCAAACTCTTTCTCACAAAGCAGAGGAGCAGTTTATCCAAACATTTGGCAGAGACTGGCTGATAAGAGGTCCTAAAAGGAGTCAAGAGAACCTTGTTCAGTTTGGCATTCCCTGGTGTTTGTAACTCCTTTCTTCTGCAAGCTGAGGCAGGCTCTTTATCTGGAAAAACATACATTCTTACTTTTTTTTTAAATTTTTTTTAATGTTTTACTTAAACTGTAATCCAAAAGGTATGAGTAGAGTTTCTATTCATTTCAATCTGTTGATAAAGTCTTTGTTAATTTTTCTAGAATAATTTCATTTCTCCCATTTCTAATCCTATTATTTGCTTTTTAAATTATTAGTTGCTAACCAAGCTTGAGATGTAAGAGTTCTATCCTCATTTAGTCATTTAATGTTTATTTACAAAATACATTGTATGTTTAAATCACAAATCCATGACAGCCTTGTGTACCCACTAACATTGCCTTTCTCACTGCTGCTTTATTTTAGGTTCAAAGACACTATTATCAATGCTAAGTATGGTGGGCACACGGAAGCTGTCCGCCGGCTTCTGGGGCAGCTTCCCATCAGTGCCCAGTCCTACAGTGGAAGCCCCTACCTTGATTTGTCTCTCTTCAGCTATGACGACAAGTGGGTGTCAGTCATGGAGCGGCCCAAGACCTGTGGAGATCACCCCATCAGGTACACATCACTGCTTCCACTCCAGCGCTGAAGATGGCCTGTCTTCTCGGACAGGACTCCACTGTGGCTCTCTGCACTTGGACACATGGGTGGCATTGGAAAGGCCGGATATTTCTTTAAAGTGATGAGTATTCTGATCATTTAGATGTTAAGGCCACACATTACATAGCTCTACATTGTGCTTCACATCAGAGAATTCAATTCAAATAAATACCATCCTTAAAGTTCAGGGAAAGAAATGGTATCTTTCCCTTTTTGTATTTGAGACTTTTTATGGTGACTACCTTATTTTATTCCCACATTACCTAGAAGAATAAATAGAAGAGGTAGTGTGAGAAATAAGCAGGTTTAGGGAAAGCCCTGACCATCTCACTTTCAGGAGTAATTTCTATTCAGAAATTTCAGGAATTTTTCAGAAATTACTGTTCTCATTGGTGCCTTGAAATTAATCTTCCTCTCTTTTCTTATTTTAGTGAAAGTTTACAAATCATATTGAGTTTCATTAGATCCTTCATACACATTTTGGTTCATAATACTAATTAGAATTGATTAATTAATTACATACAAGGTCAAATTAGCCCTTTATTGTGTTTTATCTTTCCTCTCATCATACTTACCTTTTCTTTTTTATACCCCTTGTCCTTTCCTTTCCATTTGTAGTCACCATCTAAGAATGATTCTGTGTGTAAACCTTTCCTTAACTTTCTGTAATAGTGGTCTTGTGTAAAAAGAGTGTAGGTAGCACAGGGACTACGGGGTCTGACTTCTGAGAACTCCCTAGAAGGGAATCGTCCCCATTAACAACATCCATAGTGCAAAACTTATTTCCTATAAGGTCAGACCTGATCTCCCGTGCTCCTGCACCTCCTGCTAATTCCAACACCAGTCTCTTAACTGCTCTACTGGGTCCAAAATCCACTGCAAGAAGATTATAAAGAAGATTTTATAAAACCACGGACTCATGGTTAATTAGGGAAGTTATCAGACTGTAATCCAGCTTGGCAGCGGGATGCCGTTCCTCAGGCTGGACAGATATGCTCACAGGCCTTTTGACCTTCAGCCAGGCAGCTTTGGTCAGTGATACAAAGTTCCCGTAGTCCTGCCATATCTTCCCTCAGGCCCCCAGCAAGCTTGGATGAAGGGCTCTGGCTCCATGAAGCCCCTAACAGCGCTATCTCATGTCAGTCTGTAGTTCTCTGCCGTGGCCACTGTTGCTCTTGTGTAGATCCTGATCCAGGGAATGCAGGAGTCTCTGGCCCCAAAGGATAGACCACTACTCCAACTCTAACCCCTTCCTTATTGGTTGACATTCCCAACTTCTGCTGCGGAAACAGCTCCACTGAAACCTAGTGGGATAGTGAGATGGGAAAGTGCAACCAAGTTCCAGAAACCAATTTTTAAAAACTTTTTAGGTGGAAAATATTAACACAAAAAGTTGACTAGAACGATGATGTTTCAGCAGTTTTCAATCTTGTTTTATTTGGATGCACTACTGTTACCCTTCCCAGTCCCTACTTACTTTGAAGCCAATCCCAAACAGCATATTGAACTTGAATATTGTTATTCCACCTTAAAATAATTAACAAAAATTAATGCTATCAAATACTTAGCCAGTGTCCACAATTCCATTATCCTATCTTAAGAAAGGATAAAAAAACATAGGAGAACGTGAAATGTATGAGAGGCGGGATTTGGCAGGCCTGCCTGTTTTCTCACGTCTCATACGTTTTCGGCCTAAGGGCAGCCTTTTCATCACTCTGTTCATCGAAAATATTTGAGCTTTTCTTTTCTGACTGTTTAGTGTCTTCTACAGGTTCAGGCTTTCACAGGATTTACTGTATCACCACATGCATAGTCAGTGTGCATTTCCTTCATGGCTTTAAGCATTCTTTTTACTGTCGGTTGATTTGGATCGGGGTGGAAGGAGGGCCCTCACCACTGTTCAGTCTCCTGCTCTATAGATTCTACCTTCCTCACTGTTTTCCCTTGCAGTGTCATTGTTGAAGGAAGCAAGTTGTTTGCCCTGCAGCATTTCCCATCGCATCTCCTGGGTTGTAGCTCCAATGTTTCTCAGTCCCTCATATTTTATATAAATTGGTAGTTAAATTTATAAGCTCATACAGTTGACTTTTAAATTATAAGCCATTTGCATAAGCCAGGAACTACCTGCCTAGCTTGGAAGCAAGGGTGGCATCCACTTCCTAAACAGCATGCTTCTGGAAATTCTCTGAGCTTTGATAAATGATGATAGTTCTAGAAAGGCTTCAGGCCTTTTGTTCATTTAGGGTCACTGAGTCGTGCTCAACTTGACGGCAAACAGCAACAACCTGCCTATCACGTCACAGCACCTTATGAGCCTCATTTGCTATGATCAGGTCAACTGAGACATATTTCGCTCCTTTCTGACTTCTTCCTTTCTAATTTGAAAAGATGAACTGAAATAACATCTAGAATTGTTAGGGTGGTGAAATGAGTTTTCCTCTTAATTTTTTTGTTATTTTTAATTTAAAATGAGACATGGAAGACGAAAAGGTGACACTGTTACTCTAACACATCTTGAGGGTTTATTCTAGCCTTTCTCGGTGTTTACAGTTTATTTGAATGTAGAATACATGTGTACATGTCCATGGCCATAAACCATTCTGTGTTGGTTATTTAGTCAATATTTTCCATGTTGATGGATAAATATTCATGCTGTCAATTCAGTCCCAATTCTCAAAGTCAGACCTTATAAAACAGTACAGTTGCCCTGTAGGGTTTCTAAGACTGTAAATGTTTACAGAAGCAGAAGCCATGTCTTTCTCCTGTGCAGTGGCTGGTGAGTTTGAACTGGCTGCCTTTCTGTTAGCAGCCAAACGCTTGAACTAGAATGCCACCAGGACTGCTTGTTTTGGCATAGTCTCACAATTACATTTCTGGTAATGTTGTTATTCCATCAAATAGAAGTACTCTAATTTTATGTAGCCATTGCCCTATTACTCAGCTTTTCTTTCTGCATGTCTACAGTTGTGCTGCTTGGAAATGCATCACAGGGTATGAATTTCCTTATGTGTTGATGTATTTGTATTACAGAGGGAAAGTATCCAGGACACATCATTTTCTAGAATGTCTACTTCCCCCACCCAGCTTCTGCTCTGCTCTTCATCTCTCATCTCTCAGGGACATGGAGGCAGTTCTAACCCTTAGTGATTCTCCACTGTTGTTCTGAAGCTGGGAATCTCAGTGGGAGGAGACTGCCTGTCTTGTCCCCAAGGACCTGACTGCTAGGTTTGCGCTCCCAGAGATGTGCAACCTTTGTTAGCACAGCACCTTATTGTGTCCCCTTATCTCTAATGGCATTTAGGATAAGGTGTTTAAGTACTGGAATGGATGACTCAGCCTTACTAGATTATGTTTTGTTTTTTTTTTAATTAACTGGTATTTTACATGTATGAGAAAGAGCCTCCCCAAAAGAATTTATTCTTTTTTTTAAAAAAAACAACAACCTTCATATATGAGCCGGGACCTATGGTGTCCTTCGTGAGAGGCCTGGCGACATGTGACAGACAGGTGAGCAGGCAGCAGGTGCATGCTGAGATGCGCTGTGTCAGACGTTTCAAAGACTGGTACGGAAACAGAATAACAGATATCTCCTTAATATTATTATGTCTGTTATATGTAAAAAAATAATCCTTCTAAAATTAATAAAATATTTCATATGTGGCTACCAGAAAATTTAAAGGGACATGTTTGTGCTCTGGGTCTAGACCTGACCCAGACAGTCTTGAGTCCGTAACTTCTTCACGAGGCTGGTATTATGTGCTGTCTGATTGCAGCCAGCTTGTTGCTGACCCACCAGTGGATTTTCAGAGGCTATAAATCACACAGGAAGAGATTGCCCATCTTTCTACGGTGGAGCAGCTGCTAGATTCAAACCACCTATCTTTGGGTTGGCAGCACAGCTCTTTACCCACTAAGCCACCAGAGACTAGACTGTAACTGTGGGTCATTTGAGCAAAGAAAAATGTTCCCATGCTCAGGACAACCTGGTAGGACTCAACATCACACTTGGCTCCAAGATGACCTGATTAAATCAAAGTGACTGCGTGTTTAATAACAGGGGGCTGATGTGATAGGAGAGTTTAATTTATTATAAGGTAGAATAGTGAGGTGCCTGCTTTTCCTCTGCTGCCAGGTTTCACGATGGTGGTGAATATTAACGCCTCCCCACTCTGTCTTTTCTGTGTAGGTTCTACGCCCGGGACTCCGGGCTGCTTAAGTTTGAGATCCAGGCCGGCTTGCTGGGCCGCCCCATCAACCACACAGTGCGACGCCTCGTAGCCTTCACTTTCCACCCTTTTGAGCCGTTTGCCATTTCTGTGCAGAGGACTAATGCCGAGTACGTCGTCAACTTCCACATGCGGCACTGCTGCACTTAGGGTGCCTCACCAGCCAGGTGAGCTGGGCTTCCAAGACCCGGCCGCTTCTTACCTCAGCCGACTCCAGAGCGGGACCTGAGGCGGCCCTGTTCCCGGGGTAGACTGGTAGACCTCTACGGGGCCGGAGCACGGAGGGGACAGGAGCGTGTGCCTCAGCCTGGTGGAAATCTACTGCTGAGGGACTTTGGGTCTTGCCTTTTCCCTGTGGGAATTCCTAGCATTAACTAAGCTCATTTAACTTGTGTTTTCTATTTTATTACTGTGAGAAGAGAGCATTATCCCCTCCTCCCTCCCTGCCACTTCACTGGTGTTGTGGTATGCAGCCTGAAGCCAATAACACCATGTTTACTCATGAGATCTATACACACTCATTTCACTTACCCCCCAAGCAGGGGTATCTTTGTAAGCAAACAGAAAGAAATAAAGCCCTTGTTATTTTCTTACTGAAATACAGCCTGTCTGATGACTGCCTTTTGTTCTGATTGCACCAAATGCTTTACGAATCCTCGGGTTCCAGGAAGGCTGTGAGAGGCCGGGAGGCTGTGGGTACAGCAGCTGCCGTGTGCCAGCCTGGGAGGGAGCTGTCTGCCAGGGCTGTTTGCCTCCCCAGGGTGCTCGCCTGGTAATTGTTGCAGCTGGAGGAGCTGGGTGTAATTGCACGTCCTCATGTGGAAGCATGCTCCCATCTGTGCCTTCTGTGCCGGGCAGGTGGAGCAGTGAGCAGGCTCGCTTTGGCCTCAGCAGAAGCAGACACTCTGCAGCACGTACGGTAATTTGGGTGGTGGAAGCTGGCAAGCTCCAGGTGTCCCCGAGGAGATGAGACTGCTGTTCCCGGGTGCCTGAACCATCAGAGCTGGGCTCCACACACCTGCCGCCCCTCAGCCCACATCGTTCTGTCATATTCGTCACTGGACTCCAGAGAGCTGGTCGACGCTTCTGTCTCGTTTTTGTAATGCACCTACCAAGTCTACACAGTGGACTTGTTTGGGAACCTCTGATTTGGGAATCTTTAGATTCCAAGCAGTCTGTGAAAGCGACTATGGGTGCAGTCAGCTCGATTTTAAATTACCTCTCCCATCCAGACTGACTTCCCTTAGGACTGTGAGAAATGGAATAGGGGTTACTGAGCCCCACTAGTAATAGCTCAGCTCACTTCATCATTTTCAGCATCTAAATTAATTTTCATTCTGCAGTCAACACACAGGGATTGGTAGCTTCGCACACTGTGCTATGGATTGAATTGTCCCCCATCCCGAAATATAAGTCAGCTTGGCTAGAACATGATTCTCAGTATTCTAGAATTACCCTCCTGTGTTTTGACTGGATGTAGTTTTTCCTATACATTACAAATCTTAGCTTCTGTGATGTTAAGACAGGGTAGAAGCAGTTACTAAGGCAGGGTACAACCCACAGGATTAGATGGTATTTTGAGTCAGTCTCGTTGGCAGTATCAAAGATTGAGCAGTGAAAAAATGGGCAGGCCTGCTACCACCAAGGAGTTAGAAGAGGGCTCCTTGGAGACCCTGCACTGAGAACTTCTTGGACCCAGGAGAAGATAGATGCCAAGACACCAAAGGAAGGACTCCCCAGGGCTCACAGCTCTTGGCAGGATGACAGAAAGTTCACCACTAGAGCCAGTGCTCAGATTTTGAACTTCAGAGACACTTTGTTAGGATACCAGCATTGAAAACAGTGACTCGGGAAGGGGATCCTGAGAGCTGATTCTTATTTGTTTAATTTCACTTGGCTTCCACTGGTTTCTCAACAGTCATAGTGAATTACTTCAAGCTGTGATGATTGCTGAACTCAGTACATTTGGGGCCAATTTACGGTGGGTCCTTCAAGTCCCTCTGACAAAAAGGAGCAGAAGGGAAAGGACTCAGTGGGCCAGATTCTGCCTGCCCCCGGGTTTTGTAGAAAGTTCCTGCTTGAGGTAACTACCGGTATTAACATTTCCTATGACACATACACATGAGAATACACCTTATTTATTTTTGTGTAGGTGAGCTGCCTTCACAAACATCAGTGCTTGCTCCCAGAAAAGCCAAATGCCTCAGTTTTTGTGTTTCAGTACTGTGATATCCTATAAATAGATCCTAAGCAGGTTTGTTTCTAGCTCTGATAGAAAACATCAGTGTTGTTCTGTTTTGGGTTTATTTTTTTAAGGTGTCAACAGTTTTATGTTTGCTGATTATTTATGACCTGAAATAATATATATCTTCTTCTAAGAAGACATTTTATTACCTAAAGATGACCTTTTAAATAAAACAGTAAGTTACAGTATTTGTATTGGAGGGGGGAAAAGATGAGCTATGGAAAGCAAAATGGATGAAGAGAGAAGACAATACGGCACAATAAAAGCTGTGAATGTCTGGGGAATGGTGTAAGGATGAAAGGAAGGCAGAGAGGGAAGAGAAGTGACATGGGAACTGGATAAATGAGAGCCTGTCATGCGGACCAAGTTGGAGAGTGTTTTAAGGAGAGACCCAGCACCCACAAAGGCAGGGACAAAAGGGGGACTGTAGGACTGAGAGGTGGCAGATAAGACAGCCAGCATAGCAGTCACATGTGGGCCAGGGCAATGCAGCTGAGCAGATAAACCGAGAGGCACAATGCTAGGGTTTTCAGTAGTTATGTGCTATCAAATTGCCTGCAACCCTGCATACAGCAGCTCTGAAGCCTGCCCTGTCGTGAGCCAGTCTCACTAACTCTGACTCATCAACTCATTTTCCCAGTCACTGTATCAATCCATCTCATCTGGGGTCTCCCTCTCCTGTCCTGTCCCTCCACCCTTCCGAGCATGATGTCCTTCTCCTAGGACCGATCTTTCTTGGCCACGTGCTCTAGTAAAACAGAGCTTCAAAACCCTAGTCTCCAAGGAGAGACTTGGTTTCACCCTCTCCAAGACAGTCCTATTTGTTTTCTTGGCAGTCCGTGGTATGTTTAAGACTCTTTCAAGAGTTTTCAGTAGGGGGAAGGCAAATGTGAAGTTCACTAAGATAATGTGCAGCATTTTGAAAGATGCCTTAGAGAGAATAGAGACTAGAGGCCAGCCAAGTCAGTCAGTTGTTAATCCAGGGGAGATTCTGAACGACATCACTGCACATCTGAAGGGATGAGATACTATGCTTGATCCAGGTTTTTTCATGGGTCGTGAAGGATGCAGGACTGCCAAACTTGGTTGAGTTTGTGTTCTAATAAACTAAGAACCAGAGGAGGCCATTTTCAGCTTCATGTATGTGGGCCTGATGTAAAATTTCATAGAAGCACTGTACTTTTTGTTTCCCCCTTTTTAAATGAAATTGCTTGATTAGACCTGTAGAGTGGGCGTAATGAGGAAGGTATGAAGTCACTCAGACCTCTTCGTGACTTGGCATACTTGGCTCTTTCTGCTCAGAAACTCATCGTGTGAGGATTTCCTCGTCTTGCTGAGATTTAGTGGGTAGTGATTTATTTACCCCTTAGCCATACATTCTCTTATTTATATTTTCCATCTCTTTTAAGTCAGTTGGAGACTAAAGTGTGCCTGATCCAGGCGGTGGCCTTTGCAATTACTTGCTATACATCAGAGAGCTGGACAATGACCAGAGATGATAGAAGAATTTATGCCTTTGAGCTGTGGTGCTGGAGAAGAGTGTTGAATATACCATGGGCTGCTAAAAGAACAAACAGGTTTGTCCTCGAGAGGGTGAGACCAGGCTGCTCCCTGGAGGCAAGGATTCTGAGGCTTCATCTGACATACTTTCAGATCAGGTGCCCCTTAACCTCCAGACTGATATCGTTGCTCTTCAGTACTCTAGAGAGTTCCCTGACAGTAGATGTTATCAATGTGGTTCCTCTTTATTTCCTGACTGTTGGTGTCAAGAGTGTTGATTATGGAACCAAGCAAGCTGAAGTTATCAACAATCTCAATCTCTTCACCACCTATCATGATGCTGCCAATCAGCCCAGTGGTGAGAATCTTTGTTTTCTTGATGTTGAGCTCGTTAGAATGCAGAAGTTGGAAATAAAGAAAAATTAGTAGTTGGAAAATATCAGAGATGTAGTCATTGCAATTATATCTTTTTTTTACATTTATATCTTTTAAGAAACAAAAATAATTATACAAATGGACTTTACTGAAAGGAATACACAGGAATCAGATTAACTACATCTGTGGGAAGACTTTGGGGAATCCCAATAATATCAGACAATATAAGGCCAAGAGCCTCACAGGATAGACCATTAGCTATTCATATGCAAATTCAAACAAGCTGAAGAAAATAAAACACCTATAAGAGCCAAATATGACCTTTAGTTTATCTAATCTGAATTTAGATAAGGTCTCAAAAATAAATGTGATACATTTATTGAACACTAGATGAGTTTTAGGATGACACCAAGGACACCATACATAATGAAGGCAAAATGTCATTGAAAAGAAAGAAGATTATAATGGATTTTAGAAGAGGCTTTAAAACTTGCTCCAGAACTTAGAACTAAAGCAAAAGGAAAAAAATGTGATGAAGAGATTTGAACAGAAGATTTCAAAGGTGACAAGAGAAGACAAAGCAAAGTCACTGTAATGAATTGTGCAAAGACCTGAAGTTAAAAAACCAAAAGAAAACAGATCTTCTCACTCTGAGAGACTTAAAGTCCAAGTTCAAGCTTGTCGTTGCAATAGTGAAAGATTCTTTGAGCAAAATAGTGAATGATACAGGAAACATCAAAAGATGGAAGAAATACACAGAATCACCCCCTCATTTCAAGAGTTACCATATGATAATGAACCAATGGTCCTAAAGAAAGTTAGTCCAAGCTGAACTCAAGGCATTGATGAAACAAGCCTCCAGGGATCGGTTTAATAACGACAGAGATGATTTAACAGATAGATACAGCATTGGTTATATACATTAATCTACATCATGAAAATTTGGAAGACAGGTATCTGGCCAGCCAACATGAAGAGATTCATATTTGTATCTATTCCAAAGAGAGCCAATAGTGGACATTTTCAAAAAAGATCATGACTATAACATGTAAGTAGATCTTGCTAAAGATAAGTTAAAAAATAGCTGGAGAGTCCATCAA